TGCTTTATTGTAGGCTTGTTAAAGACAAATGTGCTGGTTTTGAGGGCGCAGCTTGGGGTAGGGTGTTTTCCTCTAGGGCTCCCTTGCGCAGAGAACACACAGATACAAGCTTTAAAAGAACACAGAACAAGCTTTCTTGTTGTATCATTTACAGTCTGGCTCAGCTGCACAGAACAGCTGAATGATGGCGGCTTCAACACAGGAGTTGTCGCTCTCCCGAGAGACCTCTGCAGGTACAGGGGGAGACTGTGCTCCGTGGGCCTCCTACGGTTTGTCACACCTTACAAGCAGAGCCCCGGGCAGCTTCTGTTCCAGACCATGTTTTCAAGCATGTTTTATAGCGAAGAGACTTGGAAGATAGATAGATCACCGTTCTGAGAGTCAAAGGGTAGATTTCTTGGCTCTCCAGGAAGGATAATGTGTCAAAGGGGCAAAGGTTGGGCAGGTTTGCTAGTAGCCCCATTATAAAGCTCGAGGTTCTGCAGCTGGGACACAAATCCACTGCATCTGCAGCATCTGCATGGACGGCTCCACATGGCCCCAAGCGGATCAGGGACAAGCGGACCTAATGGGAACAGACATGAACATGCAATTCATGCTGCCTGCTGTGTCATGGATGATAAAGTCCCTTTTTTTCTGACCTGGGAGGCTAGTGTCTTCTGCTAGCATCCACAAAACTGGGACAGGCTAACCTGTTAGCTTGCAAGTAGAGTAAAATTTCACAGGCCCCAGTGGTATAGGAGAAAGGGCTGGAATGCTGACTCCATAAAGTAATCCAGGCCCGGCTCCTTTTATCTTTCTGTTTCACAATCCTCAAGTTCACCTCATAGTCCAAGATGGTTGTTGGAGTTCCAGCCAGCACATCTGCATTCCAAGCAACAGGAAATATGGAAGGGGAAGGACAAAGTCACCACCTCTCAGCCCTCCTGGAATTCCTACACAACACTCATTGACTGTCACTTAATTACATGGCCTTGCCTAGTTGCAAGGGAGGCTGGGAAATGTCTTTAAGCTGGGTGCCATGCTGTCCCAGACAGAGCTTTGTGACTAAGGAAGAAGGAGAATGGACATGTTGGTTGGCAAACTAATCTCCGCCCTGGCCCCATCTCCTGGTTGCCATCCCTGGACGGGTGGTGGGGACAGAAAGGAGCTCCCTGTCCACATACAGAGCACACTGAATATGGGAAACAGAGGCGAACAGGTTTGGAGAAGGGTGTACTAGATGAATTCCTTCCGTACCACCCCAAGGGGCTCAAAAGATAGCGGGAGGGATGGACATGTGAATTACTGATTACAAAGCATTGTGAACAGTGGTGATCAGAGCTGGGTAGGGGTCATCCAGCTCAGGGAACCGTGAGAGCACGAACAAGAGGAACCTGCATCAACAGGCCATCAGGGAAGTCTTCCTGGAGGAGGTGTTGCTTGATTTGAGTGTGGAAGGATGAGTGGAAGTTCACCAGACATGGGTTGGGCGTAGGGCTGCCAGATAAAATACAGATGCCCCACTACATTTTAATTCTAGATAAGTACATAATTTCAGGATAAGTATAACCCATCTTGTATTTGGAGCATACTTATATAAAAAAATTTTCCATTGTTTATCTGAAATTCAAATTTAACTCGCATCTTATCTTCGTATTTGCTAAATCTAGTAACTCCATGTGGGGGTGAGGGTGGTTCAGGTCCAATGAGCTGACACAGAACAGCCCAGGGGATGGGAGCTGGCTACAGCTTGGCAGGTTGGAGTGAGGGAGGAGTGAAGGAGTGTGTGTGTGTTGGGGGTGGCGGTGCGTGTAAGGCTGAAAAAGGAAGCGAGGCAGGTCATTGTCTGGTTACTAAGAATTAGGAGTATCTATTAGCTAACATTTATTAGAGCAATTACTGCATGCCAGGAATTCTGCCAAGCACTTGGGTACGGACTAATTTAATCCTCATCCCATCACGAGGAGGGAGGTACTTCTCTTATCCCCACTTTACAGATGAGGAAACCTGGAGGTTAAGTAACAGCTAGGAAGTGGTGGTGTGGGGAACTCAAGCTCTGGGTGCCCATCCAGCTGTACCTCGCTGGAATTTTCCGTGGTGCTGGCCGTGCCTTATCTCGTTCACTCCCACGTCCCATGACCCTGCCTTCCTCTCAGCAGGGCAGGGTTGGCAACCACTTCGCTGCCTTAACATAGGGGAAACTGAGTGGGGGTCCAGGCCCTTGAAGCTCCTTGAGAACCCGGCCCTGGGACCCCCAGAGAATGGCTAGCTAGTCCAGAGGCTTCCACGCTAGGAGCCCTGCAGCGTACTCAGGAGAATCCCCGAACGCCCCTCTATGGAGGGGAGGGGATGGGGAAGAGGGGGAGCGCCTTGCAAAGGGGAGACCAAAAGAGGGGGACTCCAACTAGAGCAGCTCAGCTTTTAGCTACTGTATACATGGGGCATCTGTGTGAGCCTGCAATCGATTAAAAAATGGCTCAGCGGTTTGGAAAGAAACATTCTGCTGGTAGTTCAACGCCCTCTGCTCCGAGGAGGAAACTGAGCCCCAGAGGGGGTGGGGGTGATCTCGCTCAGCCCACGCAGGGACTCCGGCGGATGGCTTGATGCAACCTCAGGACCACCCACCCTCCCACCCCACCTGCTTCTGTGCCCCAGACTCCAGGGCATAAGTCTGGCATCTCCAGCAGACAAAAGCTGCAGGCTCAGCGCCGCGGAGGGCTGTCACTGCAGCCGGGGGAGGGGGGCGCACACACCTGCCCATCGCCTGCTCCAGGGGCTCCCAGGGAGCCAGGGGATGTTCCCTGCTGGGTACCTCACCCTTGTCCTTTGCCTGCTTTGCCCCGACCCTCCCAGGCCACGGTCCAGAGCCTGGATTTGGGGCCTGGCCGTGGCTGGCAGGCCCCGAGTGTTTACAAAGCTCGGCCGGGGTGGCTGGCTGTGCCGGGGACGGGGACCAGAAGAGCCCCCCATCCGTACCTGCTCCGCGCCACCCTCGCGGTGGCGGCTCTGCTCGGGAGGCCCATTGTTGTCCGAGAAATGTTTAGGAATCAGCCATTTAATGAGAACAAAAGGAATTAATTGGTGGTTTAGGCCTAATGAGACCGCTGTGCAAATTAACAGTCCTCATCAGCAGAAACAAACAGAGCCCTTAAATGAATTGCCGAAGAGCATTAAACTGAATAAGCTTTTGCCGGGATGATAAATAGCAGGTCAGAGGAGACCATCTGGCCCCTTCCCTGCAGCTTCCTTCCAGAGAGGAGGGAGAGGGCGGGAGGGGCCCAGCTGTGTGCACTCACACTCAGCCGGCACAGGCACACACACATCCGCACGCAGTCACACTCAGACACACCCAGCCACGGTTATTCACACACACACACACACACACACACACACACACACACACTCCTAGTCACACTCGCACATGTATATCTGCACACGCATTCACACTCACACACAAGCCTGCAGCCCATCTGGGCAGGAGGTGCAGGTGGCTAAGGCAGCATTTGTCTCTGAAGGGCCCAGACGAGGCCCTCACGCACCTTTCCCAGCTCTCTGCCTGATCGTCTCGGGGCCCAAGGGCAGGGGCGCGGGGGAGGGTGTACCCCCACAATACTTGGCTAGCTGGGAGGACAGAGATAAGCCTTGACTCCCGAGGTAGTAACCCTTACTCAAAGAGTGCTCTTCCCTCAGTGGCGCATGTGGGCTCCTCCCACCTGCCCCTCATCCCTGCATGGGCACCTCCCCTCTCCACACCTGCCCTCCAGTCAGGTGGTCGGGTCTGGTGGAAAGGCCCAGGCCAGGAACTCCGAGGAGGGTCACGGGCACTCCAGGCCATTCTGACACATACTAGTCAGTCGTAAGTCTAAGAATCCTTCTAGATCTTATATTCTGGTTGTGTCTTGCCCCACTTACTTTTTTTCCGATTGATCTGCCGTCTATATTCTTTATTAACCACAAACAGAAAGTAGCTGCTTTTGTTCAACACTGAACAGTCCCCCTAAGCACAGTGTCTGGCACATTGGAGGAGCTTAATAGATACTTGTTGGTTGAATGGGTGAAATCAAATTCTTTCAGACAAGGACATGATAATCAGCCAGGCTAAGGGTCTAGTGAAGTTTGGTAAGAATCCCAGCATTGCATTCCGTGCATGGAGGGCCCATATTGGACCCTCAAAATGTCTTGTTTCCCCTAGTGGGGGATCAGCCCCTTAAGCGAGGGGTCAGGGTCTGGGAGTCCCCCTACCCCTGACAGGGTCCCGGCCCTCCCCCACATACCTGGCCACCCAAGCCCAGTGCTCAGGCTGCAGGGGTCACCTTGCTAAGGCACAGGGGGGCCTGGGCCCAGGAACCTCTCATGGTGCCTCAGCACCTGCTCAGAATAGAGTAAAAGATATTCTTCTTTTCTCTCCCTCTCTTTTTTTTTGAGTAATAAGATATTCCTAATAAGAGAAAGGATTTATTTATCCATTTATTCATTTGACAAATATTTTTCAGAGTTTGTCCCTGTGTTAGGTTATGTAAAATAGTAGTGATTTAAATTGGCCAAGTTTCTGCTCTCAAGGAACTTTCATGTGTTGAGAGAGAGAGACAGTAAACTTGTGTTGAGTACCATGAAGACATGGTCAGGTTCAGAGCTAAAAGAAATAATGGAAGGATCCATTTTGGGGAGGCCCCTCTGTGGAGGTGATGTCTAGATGACACCTGAGGAATGAGGTGCCATGCAGACTGTGGGCAGAAGGGCATTCCTGGAGGCGCAGAGAGCATGTGCAAAGGTCCTGAGGCTTGCATGTGGCCAGAGCCTGGAGGAGGGAGATTGGTTGTAAGGCAGGCTCAGGAAGTTGGGCAAGCCCAAGTGTGCAGCCATGAGGAGTTTTAAGCATGACAGAAAACCACAAGGACCCTCAACACTAAATTTTAGAGATTCCCTGACCAACTAATGGTCACAGAACCCCTCCTGCGTACAGCTCTGTGCCTGATGCTGCAGAAACAGAATGTGTAAGATGTGGTTCCTGCTCTCAGGGGGGTGACAGCTGCTGTGACCCGGACAGCCTCCCCAGACCCAGCACCTGCTACCTGTGGCCTGGATCCAGCCCAGCTGAGAACCACGGAGATAGGCTGAGGCTCCTGGAGGCTCTTTGCCACCAACAGCCCCAGACATTCAGGAGCAGACAACATGGAGGCTTAGCGCGGCCAGGACAACTTCCCAGAGAAGATGGAACTTGAGCAAGTGGGCACGAATTGGAGGTACGGGTGCCTTTCTGTTGGACACTGTGCACAGCTCCAGCTTCCTCAGGCCACCTGTGAGGTGCAGCTCATTAGCCCATTTCAGGGAGGAGGAGAGCGAGGTGCAGAGAGGGAATTAGAGCCACCAAGGGATGTACGTGGGATCTGAGTCCAGCTCTGCTTGGCTCTTTCCATTTCCACTGAAAGAAGATTGAAACTTGGGTGCCTTGGTCTGGGCAGCAGGGTCATTTTCTGATTTTCATGGGCTCTGGGCCTTTGGCCTTCACGGGCCCCATTTCTTCATTAAAAACTATTAAAAATTATATTTTTATGACTTTGTTGGTCTCAAGATGAATGTGTTTGTCTTCTTCAGATTTTAAAAGGTTTTTCAACATGCTCATGGGTCTCCCCATGCATCGCGGGCCTGGTGTACTGTGCTCAGTGCGCCCAATGGAGAAGCAGCTCTTGCGGCACCTCCAGATCGCACAGCCTCCCCCCCAAACTCCAAAAGCTCAGCCGCCACCCCCTGAGATGCCCAGACTGTGCGCTGCGCCGGGAGGGATCCCACAAGGGAAGTTGCAGCTTGAGGGTCTCTGCAGCTGAGCCGGTAAGGGCAGCTGGACAAATAAATGGTCGCCTGGGAACGTATATGTCTGTGCTGATGCAGGGACAAGAGATTGCTTGTCTTTTTTCCTGGAACCAGAGCTTAAATTCACCAGGGTGATAAATGGTCTGGCCTCACGATGAAGGCCAGCTCCATAACTCAGCTCCAAAAGGCCCCAGAAGCATCCATCTCATGTTTGCTCTTTTTCTCAAGGCGGGTGAGGGCCATGCTGACAAGGTGGAGAAACACAGGGCCCAGCCATCCTGTGGTACCCTGGGGAGCGAGGCTTAGGGATGGGGGGAGTTCTACCACGGAGCGCCCCAGGGGCCCGGCCCTCCCACTCACCCCCGGGAGGCCCCACTTCCCACTGATTGCCATGCTTCCCACGGCTTCCAGAGAACTCAAAGCACAGCTCCTTCGGGGTGCTTCCCTATCTCAAAGACCTCCCATGGCTCTTGCCCACAGGAGGCAAGCCATGAGCCTCAGTTTGGTGTCCCGAGTTCGCTACGTTCAGGCCTCAGTTTACCTTTCTATGACACTTTACCCACAAAGCTCTTCCAGCCCTGAAACCTGTTCTGTAACTCTGGGTCTTATTGACCCTGGCTGTTTTCCTCTCCTGGAATGTCCTTCCTCCTCCAGGGAGCCCTCCAGGAACCTCCACTTTTCCTTTGTCTGTCTCCCCGCGTACTGGGTTTGGACCTCTGTTGCAACCTTTGGTATAATCTGCTTGTAGTCACCTATGTGTACCTCTGTCTCCTCCCAGTGTAGAAACCTCTAAAGGGTAGACCTGATTTTATTATCCTTGTCTCTCCTATAGGCTTAACGTGGTGCTTTGCACACAGGAAATGCCCACTGTTTGTGAAGTGAACTGCGTTTCCCATGGCAAGCTGCCTTGCTCTAGTTAGATGGTCTAGGAGCACCCAGCTGTACTCTGATTCAAGACCTTTGCTTAGAGGCAGACCCAGGTCCCCCATTTCTAATTAGATAAAGCCTTGACCTTGACTCATGTCCCCCTTTGGCCTGGGAGAAACTTAGGACACCAGGTTTGGCAAATGCACCGGTCCAAGAATCCATAAATATTGATTCGTTGTTTGCAGAGTAATTTAAATGTCAGTTATAAGCCCAAGGCAGATAAAGATCTGTATCAACAATAAAACTGTATGCAAGCCACCAAGCCCTGGGGAAGCAGCTTTGGGTTAAGACGGAAATGGAATGCACAGGCCTTGGGGAGGGAGGGCATTAGAGGGTGAGACAGATCAATGGCTCAGTGAGACTTGGCTGCCAGCGATCCTTGGGCTGGGATGTGCTTGCTCATTCCCATGTCTGCTGTTTGTGGATGGAGGTAGCCCGCCCTCCCTCCATCCATCCATCCATCCATCCATCCATCCATCCATCCACCACAGAATGCTGTTTCTCAGGTATTCAGGGGGAGATAGAGACAGACAGATACACATAAACACCAGAGACACGCACACACAGAACAAAGCTAAACACTGACATAGAGACAGAGAAACAGTGATAAAGAGACACAGGGAGAGGCAGTGATGGAAACGGACACTCATGGAGAAGGAAATATAGAAAGGGACTGACAAAGATGAAGGGAGAAACAGATATGCCCCACAGAGGGAGGGCAGGGGCATAACCCCGCAGGGTTTGGGCACAACTGTGCATTGGGGGGCAGCAGGCTGGGCCCTGGCTTATAGCAAGGGATACCTGATTCTAACTCCAAGAGGCAGCGTAGTCCTGTGCTAAGATCCATGGCTTAGGAATTTGACTGCCGTGATCAGATGGTGTTCCAGTTCCAGTTTTCCCACATACTAGATGTTTGTGATATTGAAGGACTTAATTAAACCTCTGAGCCTCAGTTTCTTCATCTGTAAAATGGAGATCCTCATATAATATACAGGGATCCTTGGATCACAGTTTTGGGGGAGTACATATATATTAAGGGCTTTGTATACTGTAAGCACTTTATAAGTGCTGGGTTTTATCATTATAATTCAGAGTCTTCCCTTAAAGGACTAAGTGACCTTGAGCAAATTGTTTCCTCTCTCTGTGCCTTGGTTTCCCCCATCTGTGAGGTGAGGAGGGATAGCTTTGAGGGTTTCCTAGTCTCTGCCTTCCTTCACGTTTCCTCCTGTCTGTCCTTTGTGGCTGTCCCCGGTGAACGGTTTCTCTCCTTTGCAGAAGGTGCCCCCTCTGTCTTTGATTTCATTTAGCCACAACCAGACCCAGCAAATGAATTTCTTCCCTCCTCTTGGCTGACACCAGGAAGTGGCCGGCCTGATAGCTCCCCGGGAGGGATCAATTGGAGGAAGCCTGATTTTGAAATGACCTGGAGGACTGCTTTGGGATGTTGAACCTGACCTGCCATCCTTCCGGGTCGGGGCGGGTGGTCAGAAGCTGCTGCCTCATGCCGTGGTCTTGCTGGGGCTGTCAGGGACAGCGGAGGGCAGGCTGCTCTGTGTGCAGTCACGTCTTTTCTCTGCATTTTTCATCTCCATATTTTTTGAATACTGTGATTATACATCTATTTTCTGAGTTTTTTCCATTGTAAATATTATCTGTTGGCTTTGCATGATAGCATTTAGCTTTCTTATACATGCGCACATGCATTTTCTGCCCCCCCCCCCCCCCAGTATAGTTCTACCACAAATGCTGGTAGTATATCAATATTCAGTGTTTACACTACTATGACGATTTAAATATTGTTCACAGCTGAGCCATGTACGTAGTGTACTATGAACACATTTCCTTTTTTCTATAACTTCAAGTTTTTCTGCAGATAATAATTTCCTCTTTTTTTGTTGTTCGTTTAGTTTTCTCTATTCCTATTACTAATTGACCTCCAAATTCTCCAAAAGAATTGCAAAGCTCCTCTAAGTATGGTTAAAACATCAGATAGTAGTTCAGTTTTATTTTCTTCCCATGGACACATGCTTTCTGGAGCTCTTTACCTTCTGCTCTGATCAGAACGGGGGTAGGGAGGTCTTCTGGTCCATTGTGCAGCGACCCTCCCGGACCTCCCTCCAGCATCTTCCTGGTAGCTTTTATTTGTTTATTTTGGGGCATTTCTCCTCTGTTGGCTCCCCTATTTCGTGGACACCCTCCTCCCTCTTTCCCGGCTTACCCCTCCACTACGGTGGAGCGTGACTTCCAATCGGGTGTGTAATTTTCAGCCCCTCCCAGCACCCCAGCCTGATAGTTTGGATTCCTGAGACTGTCCTGAGTTTCAGTGCACAACCTGCTTCCCTCTTTTGGCTCAGTCCTTGGAGGCTCTTGTAGACAGAAAAGATTGAGACCTGAGTCATTCCATCAGTTTTGCCTCTTGTTTCTTACCTTCCAAACTTTTCTTAAGATCTTATTTCTGTCTTCTCTTTCATTCCCCCGCCCCTCCTTTTTTGGTATTTATCCTTTTACAACCTCTTTTCTGTGATTTTAGTAAAGGTTTTGAGAGGAAGCAGAGATGAGCTGGAAGTTCAACTGATTTAAGAATGTTTAACTAGTGCAATAATTGATTGTTTAGGTCGTATGTTGTCTCAGAATGCAGAAAATGGGTCTTAGCCTTAATTTAAAATTTAGGAGCCAACAAACAGCTTGTGTCTTCCAAGTATTTTCTGGCTAAGTTTTCTTAGAGAGCCATACTTGTGATGGGGAGCATTAGGGACTGTAGCTCTTCATGCCCAAGTATCAGATGAAAACTAATACATTGTATCAGTTGTCTATTGCTACAGTAATGTTGTATTAGAAACAACCCCCAAACCTCCTAGACACACAACACTGCTGATTGCTGTCAGGTATGGGTTCAGCCTCAGGGAGGCCAGGCTGTTCTTGGCTGGGGTTCTCTCAAGTCTGGGGTCGGCTGGCTACTGGCTGATCTAGGATGGCCTCGTCTTTGGTAACTGAAGCAACTGGATTCTGCACCTTGTGTTTCTCATTCCCCAGCAGGTAGTTGGGATCTGCTCACGCCAGTGAGGCTCCAACTTGAAAATGACAATGGATCACTTCGGCCGTATTCCACTGGCCAGGGGAAGTCATAAAACTAGCCCAGAGTTAAGGATGGGGAAATCATCTCCAGCTTTTCAGTGAAAGTCATATAGCAATGGCTGCGGATGTGGGGTGTGTGTGTGTGTGTGTGTGTGTGTGTGTGTGTGTAGTTGGGGCCATTAAAGCAGTGAATGCACTATACCAACTAACATCAGGAATTCTCCAGATGAAGTCTGCCATTACAGTGTATAGGTTCCTTGCCCTTTTAATCTTTATGAACTTTTGCCTGTATCAAGCCCCACAGAAAGAATATAATACATGTTAAAAGCCTGCTGCCTGGGTAAGCTACAGCTTTGACCTTCACCCTGTCTCCCTAACCCTGGTCTCATAAAATGGATTCCTTGGAGTTAAAAAAAAATCCAGACTGTTGACTGGGTTAAAAGAAAAACCACTCAGGTCCTCCCCAGCGGGGAGCCTCTCAGGTTTTTCTTGAGCAGCTGCCACATCTCTTAGCCAGATCCTGCCTTTTTCAGTTAGATCTAACCCAGTTCAGGGGGGGCCCAAAACTCTGCTAGGGAAGGGCAGGCAGTGTGTCTGATCACCGCCCATCCAGGTAGAGAACAGCTCATTCTCCCTCTTCCTCTTCCCTTCTTGCATGCTCACTCAATGCTTTACCCCAAAGGCACGAGCATCTCAGGCTGGGCTCATGCAGACCTCCCTGCACTCTAAGCCCCACTCCCTTGTCCCACCCTCAACTGAGCACTTGAACGTTTTTCTTTCTTTTAGATCAAGGGGGGCTGTGTGATGTTTAAAACAGAACCTTGATCCCAGCAGTGAAGAGGGTATGAGAAGAGAGCCTCCCTCATAGGGGTGCTCTAAGGGTCACAGGAGCTGATGTTCATCATGAGTCCTTGAAGAGTCCTACCTGCTATTCTACTCCTACGGCTGCCCCTTGAGTTGTCCCCTCCCTAGCTCCTTCCC